TCAGAGAGGAAGCACTGTTGGTTTTTGGGTTGTTTAGTTTTTTTACTTGCATTATAGTGTAGGCTTCAAGGAAAAAAACTACAAAATGGCGGCGCCAGTACTGGATTTTTTTTCTTTCTATTTTATTCTATTTTTTGGCATTGATCCTAGTTTTTTTTTGTTACTATTGGTTTGCTTCCTGTCTGCTCCCGTTAATGTTTAATCCTGTACCGTCCCAATCACGTGATCGTTACTAATACTGACTCCCATCCCACGGGAAATGTCAGTCACTAACAGTTGGGCACGTTACTTTGAAAAAGTAATTAGTTATAGTTACTAGTTACTTGTGGTGTTTTGTGGACTTGGAGAAGGCATTCGACCGTGTCCCTCGTGCTGCCCTGTGGGGGGTGCTCCAGGAGTATGGAGTCGCGGGCCCTTTATTAGGGGCCATCCGTTCTCTGTACAAGCGGAGCAGGAGTCTGGTTCGCATTGCCGGCATTAAGTCGGACCTGTTCCCAGTGCATGGTGGACTCCGACAGGGCTGCCCTCTGTCACCGGTCCTGTTCATAACTTTTATGGACAGGATTTCTAGGCGCAGCCAAGGACCGGAGGGGGTCTGGTTCGGGGACCAGCGGATCTCGTCCCTGCTTTTTGCGGATGATGTAGTTCTGCTGGCTCCCTCCTGCCAAGACCTACAGCGTGCGCTGGGGCGGTTCGCAGCCGAGTGTGAAGCGGCCGGGATGACAATCAGCTCCTCCAAGTCCGAGGCCATGGTTCTCGACCAGAAAAAGGTGGCTTGTCCCCTTCAGGTTGGAGGAGAGTCCCTGCCTCAAGTGGAGGAGTTCAAGTATCTTGGGGTCCTGTTCACGAGTGAGGGAAGAATGGAGCGGGAGATCGATAGACGGATCGGTGCGGCTGCTGCAATAATGCGGACGCTGCACCGGTCTGTCGTGGTGAAGAGAGAGCTGAGCGAAAAGGCAAAGCTCTCAATTTACTGTTCGGTCTACATTCCTACCCTCACCTATGGTCATGAAATTTGGATCATGACCGAAAGAACGAGATCCCAGATACAAGCGGCTGAAAAGAACTTCCTCCGCAGGGTGGCTGGGCTCTCCCTTAGAGATAGGGTGAGGAGCTCGGTCATTCGGGAGAGGCTCAATGTAGAGCCGGTTCTCCTCCACATCGAGAGGAGTCAGTTGAGGTGGCTCGGGCATCTTCTTCGGATGCCCCCTGGACGCCTCCCTCGGGAGGTGTTCCAGGCACGTCCCACTGGGAGGAGGCCCAGGGGACGACCCAGGACACGCTGGAGAGACTACGTCTCTCGGCTGGCCTGGGAGCGCCTAGGGCTTCACCCAGCAGAGCTGGAGGAGGTGTCTGCGGAGAGGGAAGTCTGGGAGTCTCTGCTTAGTCTGCTGCCCCCTCGACCCGGTTCCGGATAAAGCGGGAGACGACGAGTACGAGTACTAGTTACCTTTCCCAAAAAGTAACTGAGTTACTAACTGAAATCCACAATAAAAGTAACTAGTTACTAGTAAAAGTAACTATTGCGTTACTTCTGTGTTTCTCGCCCCCGTAACCCTCACCACTCAGCCCCCACCTTCTCGCCGTGTGTTTCAAAGCGAGCTGAATAGAGCGGACAACAAAGACAAGAACCAGCAGAGAGTTTAGCATTTATTGCAACTCAACGTAAATGACATCAGGGGGGAACGCGATGTGAAGTTTTTTAACGGCATTCAGATCTGGTGAGTATATGAAATTAATAACTGGGGATGTCTAATTCTGAAATCCTGTGTCTTTGGGTTGTTATAGATACTGAAACATCTATCTATCTATCATCTATCTATCTAGATGTATACTCTGTGTGTGACATAAAATATGGATCTCCATCCATCAAATAATGTTTAAAATAAAAAAATACAGTAGGTTGAAAAGGCAGAGTATCCATCCATCCATCTCCTTTCTCCATATAGGCTATCATTTGATCCTTCACGCTCTCCATAGTTCTCCTGTGGTGCAAGCACAGGGCGACTGTTGCGCGCCTTTAAGAAGCATGCGCGTTTCCTGATGCTTGCGCGGTGAATAGTGCCGCCTGCGCTGTGCGGAGATGCAGGGGAAACCGTATGTGATGGGGAAACGCAGCTCGACGTAACACCGGTATTTCCATCTGGAAAACGCTGTTTTGCTGCTGGAGTCCTCCTCACTCTCCATCTCTCTGTGTGTGCTGTACGTCAACACCCACCAGCAGAAACACCCACCTACCCAACTGACCGATGGAATCTCACTATACATCAGCCATTCTCATCCTCCCCTCTCTCATGACAAGGCGCGCACGAGTCCTATTATGAAAAAAGGTTAATTGTGCGACCTGAGTAACGCGCAGTAACGGGGTGTCGGAAATGGTAACTGCGTTATAGTTACAGTCAAAGTAATTAGTTTGATTTCTCGTTACTAAAACAAGGTAACGGCGTTAATAACGCTGTTACTTTGAACGCCGTTGTTTCCATCACTGGTCTCTACTGGTGACCTGTCCAGGATGTACCCCGCTTCTCACCCATTAAGAGCTGGAGATAGGCATCAGCACCCCTTACGACCCCAGCAGGTATAAGCATGATGGACAATGGATGGAGGGAATCTAAATTAAATTCCACTCTGCGCTTAGGAAATCCACCAATTTTTCTAATAAATAACATTCCTTCATACTTTTAAGAGATTTAGTGGATATTTGGAGCTGAAAGCCTAAAAAAAAACAAAAAAACAACAGGAAATGAATGAACATTAAGTCATATCTTATTGGAAGACCGATTGTTAAAGTTTGTTGGATGTTCATCACGAGTAGACGTCACCTGAGTAGCTAAAACAAAGTAGATCCTACATCACTATACGATAAACAGACTTTCCATATGTCCCACTGTGTGTTGCTGTCCTCTGAACATCAGCTAGCATACATGAGGTGGTGTTGTCAAGTTATGTGGGGTTGTTAGCTTCAGCTCCTCCCCAAACTTGAAAACGGCTGGTCATCACCAACAAGGACGCTAGGCACAACTCAAATCCTTTTCCATTTTTGCTTTTTATTTGGGATCTAGGATTTGGATTTAGGTTGAAAACCTTTAAAACAAATTGACAAACATAAGAGTATTAGTTTAAAACAAACAATTTGACCAACAGAAACTGAATTAGTTCAAAACAAAAATGTTTTAAATCAAACATTTCCACTGTGGCTCACCCATAAGCACAAACAAACAATATAATAATAATAGCTAACTTTATTTTCTTCTTACCAGGGGCCTGTTTCAGAAAGGAGGTTAAGTGAAAACTCTGAGTTTGTTAACCCTGAAATGAGGGAAACTCTGGGTTTTCTGTTTCAGAAAGGGAGGTAAGTTAAACCTGAGAAAGCAGAGTAAGTCAAGCCCGTTTCTGAAAGAGAGGTAACTTATACTCAGAGTCAGTTACAATGGCAATTTACTCTGTGAACCTAACCTGGTCGGGAGCAGGTTTTCTTCAGAAAATCCAGAGTTTATTTTGGTCTCCTCCCCTTTTTTAAAGAGGAAGTGGTGTTTAAACACCTCATTGATTTTTTGGGGACATATTCATTGCACACATTTCAGTCACGTAGAGCGCAGCAAAGGGAATGAAATGGCATGTCCTTTTATGGATGATCCTGTTTGTAAAGCCAGGTAGCTACTCTACTCCCATGATGTGCTCAAGGCTTACCTGCTTCAAGTATGTTTTTATATTTCATTTTCAGCTGCTGCCATGTTCTTTTGATGCCTGCAGGATTGCACCTATCCATGAAAACTAAATTAGGTTTAATAAAATACTGTTCCTCCAGTTTCACCTCTGATATTATAACAGTTGGGTAAGTTACTCTAAAATAGTTCTTAATTACTAACTACAATTTTATCTTCAACAAGTCTAATTAGATTAATGTAATAATTACTGTCTCTAGAAAGTATTGGTCTACTTACTAATTTGTTTTACTTACTTATTAATTACTTTCTAAATCCCAAATCAACCTCAACCACTTGAACAATACAAGGAGAGACAAGAAACTGCCCTTCTAATGCTTTCAAATAAACAATATTCAATTGCATGAATTAATCTTAAATTGACCAAAGTGTGTAACTAGAGGGAGAAAGTTCAAATCAAAATATACCTTTTAAAATTTGATATTAAATCCACTATTGTTTTATAGTCTTTAATTTAATTACAGTATTTATATGACTTAAGTAACTTAATTCATTACACCCAACACTGTATAAAAGTAATTAAAATGTAAACTTACGCATTGACTCGAGCAGCTATTTTCACCCAAGCTAACTCTCTCTCCTTCGCCGCTGCAGTCGTGTTGCTTTTTTTTTTTAAATACATGTTCAAATTCTGCATATGCTTGCATAAGCACATCCAGTTCTGCTGGTGAGAAATATGCACACCTTTTTTTATCTGATGCTGTTGCCATGGTGACTCGTAAAATCTGTGCTCCATTGATAATGGCTTTTTATAGTTGTGGTGCACGCGCCTAACTCAGAGTCAGTCAATTTAGAGTTGATTGAACTAACTCATTTCAGCTGTTCTGAAACCCAAAACTCAGAGTTTCCAATCTCAGGATAAGTCAACTCAGAGTTCAAGTTTTAACTCAGAGTTGGTTGAACTTCCTTATTGAAACAGGCCCCAGTTGTGTATCTGGTGATTAAACCATGAGCTTAAACATGCTTGCCAGGAGCCAGTCTCTTCCTTTGCCTGTCAAAACTGCCACACATGGGTGTGCAGGTGTTTTAATCATAGGAAGGCCCAACCCCCAACACAAGTTCACTCCTCTTTTCTCCTGTGCTTCTTTTTTGACATGACAAGCGTTAAATATGCTAACGCTGTTGCTACCGATAGAAGGGCCACCTGCAGTAGGTTAACGAAGTGTCCGATGTTCTCCTGGTATCAATGGGCCCAGAAGAGCCGCTTTAAGGTCCAGTTTATTTTAACTCATTCAGCACAGGATCAGAAAACCAGATGTTTTCATTCTGCAGGTCAGACCCTTTGGCAGCGCTTCTTGTGGCACCGCAGGTGGCTTGGTTGTCTGAAGGTTTTCCCACACAGTTTGCAGGAATACGGCTTCTCCCCCGTGTGCGTCTTCATGTGGAAGCTCAGCCCTGTCCCTCGACTGAAGGTTTTGTGACACACTTTGCAGGTAAACGGCTTCTCTCCTGTGTGAATCCTCATGTGGATGTTCATACAGCTCCTCCTGATGAAGCCCTTCCCACACACGCTGCAGGGGTAGGGCTTTTCCCCTGTGTGAGTTCTGACGTGACAGGTCAAGGTGTTGCTCTGTCTAAAGCGCTTGTGACAGATGTGGCAGGAGAAAGGCTTCTCCCCCGTGTGCCGCCTCAGGTGGCGCACCAGGTGACTGTTCAAGCCGAACTTTTCCCCGCAGATCTTACAGGAGAAGGGCTTCTCACCGGTGTGCGTAATCATATGGCGGAAGGCACTGTCCTGCCGGGCGAAGCGCCGCGTACACAGCTCACAGGAGTAAGGCTTCTCGTTCTGGTGCGTGACTCGGTGGTCTTGCAGCAGCAACATGTTGGAGAACTTTTTGCCACAAGTCTTACAAACAAAGGGTTTGGGTTCATTTGAGTCTTCCGACTGCTGGGAACTGCTTGGTTCTGATTTACTCTGCTCCTCTTCATCATAGTTAACGGTCACCATGAAAAAGTCTGTCTCTGGTCTCTGTCCAGCGAGACTGGAGCCCACTTCTTCCTGCTCCTCTTTAATCTGCAGAAACCCTGGTTTCTTTGAATCCACACTGAGGAACCTTTCGGGCTCAGTTGGAACGTCTTCCTGATAAACACGGTTCTGTTCTGTTAAGAAAAAAAACAATCAGAAAAAAGTAAGTTAGTCCACGGAGCTAAACCATAAAAAAATTGACAGTGTAGTCTCAGCTGGTTCTGCACTAACAGGTCGACTAGGAGGAGCTCCGGTCTGGTCACTCAATATTTCTGCATCCGTTTTTGTGCAGTGGCTATTAATTTATATGAACAGAACTGTTAGAAATATTTTATTTATACTCGGTTTGTGTTTCATGGGTTGTGTATTATTGAACTATTATGATGTATAATGTGTGATTCATCGTTTATTAACTCTTGCTAAAGATCGTTCCAGATACAGGTCATGCAACGGACGGGTTGTGAAGGAGGCCTGAACATCCTCTATCACATGTTTCTTCTAAACATGTGTTCTTGGAACAATTCAATTGTAAAACAACCACATGCTTTGTTTTAACATATGTGCTGAGGTTTAAAGTAAGATAATTTTGTTTCCCTTTCCCTTAGTTAAACCTCAGCTTGTGTAATTAGGGACATCCCCTGACTTCAATAAATAGCGAGGAGAAAGCTGAAGACCGGCAGAGTGGGGTGGAGATTATAAACTCCGCAGTCTCTTCTTACTCTCCTCGCGAGTAACTAAATTAATTGTCTCTGGGCCTTCTTTCTTTCCCTGTATGTATGTATGACGTTTTAGGTGCTTAGACCTGACAAGAATCTATTAAATATCTATTTATTATTACTATTATTACAAAATATAGCTTGTAATTATGGCTATAGCAAACAATGATTTTAGTGATCAGTGATTTTATCTTATTTTTATGATTTATTGAGAAACTGCTTAAAAACAGTAATACTCTAAAGAATATTCATCTATTTACCTAAACTTATTCTATGATTAATTGGAATACATAGAAAAAAAATGCTAAAACTTCAGATTTTCCTTTCAATACAAAACCAAAAAGAAGGATGCTGGAAAGCATGGAGCATGTCTGGTGTAGTGTATCGTGTTTGGCACTGACGATAGGCCCCGCCCTTCCACTACACCCACTTCTGCTCTCACCAACAGTTTGTTTAAATGTTTGTTATTCATAGGGAATAAAATTGTGTTGAAAAAATAACAATTAAATTCATTAAATTTCCTATTAAACAATCATAATAATTATGGATGAATAGGAATTAAAGTGAGAATAACAAACTAAAAAGTTGATGGTTTGACCAACAAGCTAAAGCCCGGCTCACATCGATTGTGACGACTTTTTAATCTCCAATCCCATTTATTCACACTGAAAGTATATAGAGAGGCTTCGACCAGGCAGACTGAGCAGATCTAGATATGTGGAGTTTTTTGTTTACTTCGGTCTCTGTGCCCAAAGAACTGAAAAACTGTCCCACATTTGACTAGGAAGGATTATAAAAAACAAAACGGCGCTTCCCCCTACTTCATGACTCTGTGTCTATATTAAATACACCACAGGAACTACATAAAAAGAAAAGGGAAACGCAGCAATAAAGGCTGTGGGGCGGTTTGTATGCTGGATGAGGCAGAGAGGCGATTCTCAGAGAGAGATCTGTGAAGTTTGTTCAAGTTTTTTTTCTTTCATAAAGAGGATAGAGTGATGAGCTGCACTTACTTCCCTTTGTTTCTCTCAGATAGAGCAGTTTATCACTCTTTCTTCCCCTCGATGTTTTGTTTTTGAGAGGTTCAAACTGGATCACTACTTTTTCTGTTTTCAGTCCCCCTGAACTCCTACCACGGTATTCTTTTTTTAAATGTTTCTTTTATTTTTGTGCCAGTCTGCCCCATCTGCTTTATATTCGCTGTACGACTCCAATCCTGACAGTTTTCCCTGAGATTTACTCTACCCTTTTGAAACTAGGGGTGTAAATCACATCCATCACGGCGATTCGATTCAGTATCGATTTCCTGACCCAACGATTCGATTATTTTCGATACTCAAGAATACACCACGATTCGATTCATTGATTAATTTTTTTTATTATTATTATTTTTTTACACCTTACAGGCTAAACAAAGTTTCAAGTTTGAAATAAATCAATGAAAGCTGTAATATCATTATGCATTTTCTTTAGAAACAACAGCAAATAACAGAAGTAGAAAAGTTGCATCAAAAAATACTGCAAAAATACTGCAGAAAATCAGTGTAATGAGTTCAATGCAATACCTCGGCTCCAGAGAAACTGTCCAACATATTTTTTTAGAATGTAATAAATATACTCAGGAAAGAGAGATGTTGCGTAGAGAGTTAGACAGGAATAAAAATAAACTAGATCTAAGGGAATTGTTTCAAAGGTCATCTGGGGATGGAGTTTTTGGGAGTATTTTTAACTTTCTAAGAAGAACGGGTATTTTAGGGAGAATATAATAGTTTGTCTGGTCCATACTCCATTCTGGAAGGTGGCGGTAATGCACCTATAAGTTGTTTGCCAACCGCCATTAAAAAAAAGAAGAAGAAGAAGGCTCCAGAGTGTCGACGTCACCGCCCCCTTGAGAGACGCTCCGCTGCACCTCTCCCAGATTGTAGCTGACCGCAAACAGTGCAGCAGACAGAAGGCCGGCTTGTTTTGTTTTTATGACCGAAATTGTGAAAAACAACTCGTGAAGTTTGACCCGCTAGAAGAGCGAGGTGCGTGAGAACACTGGGACCCTTTTTCCAGCTGAATCTCTGCTCTTTTTGGCCCTCATGTCCCTCCGTCGTCGGACTAAACTCGTCCCCACTTCCTCGCCGCCTCGGCCGTATCTAGACCCACAGTGTGTAGCTCAAACCACGCTTCAATATTGAGCATAAATTAAAAATGTCTGTGTGAAGCTTCACACAGACATCGATACAAAACAATTATTATTTACACCCCTATTTGAAACCGTGCTGAGATTGGTCCGAACACGGTAACCAAGATAACTGTTGAGTGTAAATGGTACGCAGAACTTAACTGGATTCTGCCAGACACAACCGAACCGTACAAACATGGTACTAGTTCATTGGTAGGGATCGGCACGGTTCAGTTCTGGCTCAGTTCACAGATAACAAAGAGCGCATGAGCAGACCGCCTCATCTCCTTACAGTCAGCCTTCGTAATCAGGAAACTTCAGACATTCTTAAAAATCCTTTCTTCCCTACCGTGCCACACAATTTCCAGTGATGATTCAGCCTTACAGTGTGATGAACCTCGACCATCTGTTGTTTCTTCTTGTGTCTGAAAGCCAGGGGTGGGCAATTCCAGTTCCTGGGGGCCGGTATCCTGCATCTTTTAGATGTGCCTTTGGTTCAACACACCTGAATCAAGTACTCAGATAATTGGGAGGACTCTGCAGGAACTGACTGCATACTGAGGAGGTAAGTCAGCCATTTGATTCAGGGGTGTTGGACCAAGGATGGATCTAAAAGTTGCAGGATACCGGCCCCCAGGAACTGGAATTGCCCACCCCTGCTGTAAGCCCTAAGTAGACTATCGTTTGTCGTATCCACTTCCTAGAAGACGACTGTCAAGTAATTCACCAAAGGCTGCCTTCTTCGCCTGACTCTCCGCAATCTTCCTAAATGCTGCAGGCGCCACCATGTTGGTTTGCTTTTTCACCTCTAGAGAGAAGTAGTAACATAGATTGCCACTAGGAGGCGAGGAATCATGCTAGTGTGGTGTGTAAATGGTCAAAGGTAACTTTTAAATGGGGCTTTTATTTTGTCTCTCTTCCTGTCAGACCAATAAAATTGCCGGTGAATTGCTGCATAGTCCGACTGAAACAGACCTGGGGTCTACCTTATGCAGAACTATGCAGCCCTCTGCAGAGAATCGTGTCGGGTGCGATCATCTCCACTGACTCTCAATGAGAGATAAACGCCACTACTTTGTCCAATAACATTTCCTGTCAGATCGGATCATCAAGGGGGTCCAATCTGAACATGATGACTTGATATGAATGGAGTCTGGTGTGCTATTGTTTGGTTGGAAAGAAAACTTGCAGCATCACGGCCCTTTCTGGAACAAGTTTGACAATTGTGCCCTAGATATTCAGAACCCAAACTAATTTTGCCGGTCCAAACTAAAAAAGAACCAACAGCTGAACCTAAATATGGACTTAACAGACCCAGTGAGCCCCTTAATAATCTAGATTAAATGGGTTAAGATTAAGGCAGTGGGCTAGTCTCCGTTCCAGACCTGTTGGGTCATTCGGACAAGTACAGTGTTTCGTACCTGGTATTTGGACGTTTGCCGGGTCGTCTTCAGAACTCCCCAATGGTTCTGCACTATTGAACTCTCTATGTCGCGGCACAAAGGTATCAAACTCCTTCCTAAGCAGTGGACTCTCATCGTCATGTCGGGTCCAGAACTCCAATTTTCTGGATTTATTCTGCGGAGATTCTGGGTCTTCTGATTCCGGATCATCTTCTGATTCCAGGAGTTCTGGTTCCTCCAGGTCCTCCTTGGTATCCAGGTACTCCAACTCACCCAAGTCGTCTATAATCTGTGGACATCCTGGTTCTGACAGGGCCTCTTCGATGTGAAAAGGTCCTAACTCGTCCAGGTCATCTATGATCTGTGGACTGTCTGGCTCCACCAGGGTCTGGTCCATTTGCAGCGGTTCTGGTCCACACTGTTCATCTCCATTCCGAGGAGATTCTGGATCATCCAAAGCTTCTTCTCCCTGCAAAGGTTCTGGCTGCTGCTGAGCCTCTTCGGTCTGTGGAGGTTCTGGTTCTGTGAGGTTCTGTGTGAACTCAGGGGGATACAGCTCCACTTCCTCCTCTTTGATGCATGGAGGTTCTAGTTCTGTGAGGTTCTGTGTGAACTCAGGGGGATACAGCTCCACTTCCTCCTCTTTAATGCGTGGAGGTTCTGGTTCCACCTTGTCCTGAACACAGAGACTCCTGTAGTCGGTCAGAACCTCTTCCTTATAAACTCGTCTGGGAGGAAGTCCTGAGGAGACAGAGAATATCATCATGATCATGGCGATCCAAAAGATGTTCTAAACTTCAGAACCACCAACAATGCAACACCAGGATTAGTCTGTGTTCTGATAACTGAATCTGGTTCTGACTGATGGGTTCATACAGAACAATGATGAGTTCAGTCCAAACAGACAGATAGTCCAGTTCCACCAACAAAACAGTATCAGAACCTGCCAGTAACACCTCTAAGGGTGTGCAAAATAATCGTCATGACGATGCATCGCGATTCTAATTTTTGTGATCTACTGCATCGATTCTTGAAGGCAAGAATCGATTATTAAAGAAAAAAAATGAACAAATAAAAAACATTAATGGTTGGCGCACATCAGCCAAATCAAGTGGAATACAACTTCCAGTCCAGCAGATGTCGCTGCGGATGTGTTGATGCTCGCTGCTTTGTGTCACAAGCATTTCCGGCCGTGGGATACTGCGACGAGTCATATGAAATAAAACATGGAGGACACTATGAAAATTCGCCCCGCGGCTCCATCACATTTCAAGTCAGATACTTGGATGCATTTTGGCTTTAAAAACAAAGAAGGTAAAAACGGAAATGATATGATGCACGTAATTTGCAAAAGGGGAAATGTCATACATTTTAATGTTTTCATTTCATTGGTTTAAAGGACCACTGAGGCCATGTAAACGGCACTGATTATCCTAATTTTGTTATTTTAAGTTTGATGAATCCTAAGATCTTTTTGTCAGTGTGTCCACACCACCAGTAATAATAATATTTGTGTCCAGTATTTGTTTTCATGGCAACACCTCCAAAAGTGGTTTCAATAAATACAGCTATGTATGAATTCAGTTGCTTTCAGTTATGTATCAATTGAAGACAATATCCAGATCACACACAGCCAGTCAGCCACTGGTAATGGCTGTATTTTTTTCTTACAGTGTCAGTGAAAATATTGCGTTACATCGCAATATTTCAAGTATCGTCATGCATCGTGATAGAATCGCATCATGGCATGTGAATCGTGATTCGAATCGAATCATGACTTCTTTGCCAATACCCACCCCTAAACACCTCCCGCCATAGAGTGGCAGCAACGGGGGTTTGCTGAGAGGCACTGGACCTCTAGTTTCTGACCTGAACCGCCTAAAGCACCAACTTTTGCTCTGTTCGAATTCCTAGGACGCGTCCTTAGAAGGCCAGATTCGAAGGACGATTATGTCATAGTGCCGCGCGGAGGTCTGTTCGGATTCCAAGAGTCCTTGTTATGCGGCCTTAAAATGCTTCCTTCTTTTTGCCTAATTTGAAGGACGGGTCCGATGTATCCTCTCTATCCTTGGATATCCCCGGATTCATTGCGAGACCAAGCAAGCCAGCTGCTCTGTGATCAGTGGTGAAAATTAGAAGTTCAGTTTAATATAATACAAGTCTGTGAATAGTTCCATCTGAGATGAATGAAAATAGTTGTTTTAATGGTTATAGAGTCAGATATGTGGCGGTAATGTTTGATTTATCTAAAGGTTTTTATCTGTTACTGTGTAAATGGGTTTGGCTGGAATTTAAGGACAGATTCTAATATATCTGCAGGGTGGGGACTATAAATCTGATAGGATTTTAATTTCTTTTATTGCAGTTTTGCACAATATGCTTAACTAAGTATTTTTTGTTTTTGAATATTAGAGACTTTGCAGATATATTCTTTATACATACATTGTTTAGATTTACAGTGTCTGCCGTGAAGCGGGCGCTGTACAGGTCCGTCGTGGTGAAGAGAGAGCTAAGTCAAAAAGCGAAGCTCTCGATTTACCGGTCGATCTATGTTCCTACTCTCATCTATGGTCATGAACTTTGGGTCATGACCGAAAGAACGAGATCGTGGATACAAGCGGCCGAAAATGGGTTTCCTCCGTAGGGTGGCTGGGCTCTCCCTTAGAGATAGGGTGAGGAGCTCGGTCATCCGGGAGGGACTCGGAGTAGAGCCCCTGCTCCTCCACGTCGAGAGGAGCCCGTTGAGGTGGCTCGGGCATCGGGTTAGGATGCCTCCTGGACGCCTCCCTGGTGAGGTGTTCCAGGCACGTCCCATCGGGAGGAGGCCCCGGGGAAGACCCAGGACACGCTGGAGAGACTATGTTTCTCGGCTGGCCTGGGAACGCCTTGGGGTTCCTCCTGAGGGGCTAGAAGAAGTGGCTGGGGAGAGGGAAGTCTGGGCCTCCCTTCTTAGGCTGCTGCCCCTGTGACCCGACCCCGGATAAGAGGAAGATGGATGGAATGGATGGATGGATGTTTAGATTTACTTATATATTTCTACCCCTTTTATAGAATAGAATAGAAAATCCCTTTATTGATTATTGGAAATGGTCACACAAATGAGGACCTTAGAAAAACTTATAAGAATAACATAATAGCAAATCCTGTAAAGTGTTTTAACAATATAAAACTGGAGAATAAATAACCAATATCCAGCTATGGACATTTTTACAATAATGGATATTTGAAAAGAGATGTGCAAAATGACAGCAGCATATTATTTATTATTTAACTGACTAAGGTTTCTATCATTACATTTGATTTTATTTGTTCCTGCTCCCGCTGGTTGGAACCTTTATTCCACTCAATAAAAATGAAAGAAATAAACAAACAGTTTTTAAAACTTCGTTTTTCATTCTTTTCCTGTTTGTGCGTCAACTTTCACGAAGGGTAGACCTGTTCGGATTCACAGCCCAAACTCTTCCGGTCTCCTTTTTTTCACGGACTTCGAAGGATCCAGTCCAGGTAGACCGCTCCTTGGAGGATGCAGCCCAGGACTTCGAAAAGAGCCTTTATGTGGCATTATACAAAGAACAGCAGAACTCTAGATGTAGAGTTCAGAACTCTAGAATTCAGAACTCTAGATGTAGAGTTTTGAAAGCCTGAGGGCGAGCAGCTCTGGAACCCTCCATGGACTCACTAATTTCTTTCACCGCTTTGTTCTTTCTGCGTCCTTCAGTGTATCATCGATTGTCTGCTTGTTTGTTTCTCAGTCCAATCAGTTTCCCCACTGCGGGACGATGAAGGCATTTCTTCTTCTACTGTGGACCCCAATTAAAATCTGTGTTTTATTTTGAGGGGAAGGATTCCAATACCCCTTTCCCACTGGCTGAAAAACCTGTTTAAAACCGGGAACAATTGGCATTTAGTGGAAGTGGGAACAGCTCACGATTGCTTGTCTATCCGGGTCAAACGACTCGGCAAGCAACACGGATTGAAATCGCCTCGGCTCTGATCGGAATTCTGTGGGAACACCAGAGCCAGGGTTACCCGCTTAATTACTTCACACCATTGTATGCAACTTACAGATGCCAACACACCACGCCAGTCGGTTCCTATCTAACAAGCAGAAACAACTCTGTTTCCATTTGATAAACATGGAGCTGAATGAGGATGAGGAGGGAGGCACCTAGCTGGACTCTGAGGAAGACAGTGATGAACCTGGCAAATGAAGATGTGGATGAAACTTCCATCTCATACCCCTTTCCCACTGGCCAGTCGGTCTGATCTAACAAGCAGAAAGACTCTTTTTCCATTCGATAAACATGGAGCAGCTCTGTTGAGACGGATTCATACAGATAATAGAGTGAAACAATAAATAACACTGACTACGCCGTGGCTTCCTTCCATGTTGCTCTCCAATGTTTACTTTCCTGGTTTCTGTCACACTGGTGACATCATCAATGCTAACCCATGTGTTGGCGTCACCACACATGCAGCTGTAGGGGGTCAGAGGCCACGGAGCTGCCAGCAAGGGGTTAGATCAGCTTTTATTGCCAATGGGAAGGGAGCCAGATGCCGATTGTTAGCGAGTCGACACATGTTTAAAAAACATATTTTCATTGGGAAAGAGGCTTTACATTGAAGCCGATTGTGATTTCTCACCAGGAAAACCTAAAATAATAACAATCACATCTGGAGATCATCAAAAACATTTAAACACAGAAAATAAAACTGTTACTGCTGGAAAATAAGATTAAGCGAAGAAACAGGAAACAGGATTTTAAGCTGGAGAAAATGGAGAAGACAGGATGAAACGAAAGGACTGGAGATGGTCCGAATGATCGACTCGAAAATAATAACTATTAATTGAACTTTATTAATCTCCCAATGGAGAAATTCACTTCTGCATCTTAACCCATCCCCTTGGGGAGCAGTAGACTGCCACTGTGCGGCGCCTGGGGAGCAGCGTGGGCTTAAGAGGAAACAATGACGTATTCAACTATAAGAATTGGACCCATTTCCATTCACAGCCATCCCATTATAATGCTGGATCGTGTAGTCTCCACACGTCCAGTAAAGCCAGAAAAAAAAAGACGAAAGAATAAAAAATAAAAATAATCGATTTAAATGGATTTTCCTTTAATTGACCCGACAGTGATTCATAAAACCCCTGAAATGATCCTTTATTTTAACATTTGTGAGACAAAAGAATCAAAGTCTGTAGCCATTTTATTTACCCAGCATGCTCTGGTTTGACTTTATTCAAAGTATCAATTCTGTGTTTTCTCATCTTAAATAAAAAAAATGAACTAAAAATTACATTTTCTACATCCAAGGAAAACTGGAACAGCTTGATATTCTGGACTAAATCATAAACCAATCAAATCAAATCCTGAATCAGATTCAATCAGGCCTTCATGAATAAATAGATCTAGGAAATCAGAATCTATCTTCAGCGCCAGCTGTTCGATGGAGCCTTTTCTATGAAGCAGTCGGACAAGATGAAACGAAACCCTGAGAGATGCTACATGCTAAGCTAACGCTACGAGGTCAGTGTGAGGTACAACCAGGAAGAGATCGGTAAAGCTCCTGTTTCAGCTACTGTGAAGGAGTTCACACCAGGCCAGAGTTGGCGGGGACATGTCCACACCAGGCCAGAGTTGGCGGGGACATGTCCACACCAGGCCAGAGTTGGCGGGGACATGTCCACACCAGGCTAGAGTTGGCGGGGACATGTCCACACTAGGCCAGAGTTGGCGGGGACATGTCCACACCAGGCCAGAGTTGGCGGGGACATGTCCACACCAGGCCAGAGTTGGCTGGGACATGTCCACACCAGGCCAGAGTTGGCGGGGACATGTCCACACTAGGCTAGAGTTGGCGGGGACATGTCCACACTAGGCCAGAGTTGGCGGGGACATGTCCACACTAGGCCAGAGTTGGCGGGGACATGTCCACTCTAGGCCAGAGTTGGCGGGGACATGTCCACTCTAGGCCAGAGTATTATATTCTCTTTTCTAGTTAAAAAATCTGGGCTTCTCAGAGGACCATCCATCCATCCATCCATCCATCCATCCATCTTCCTCCGCTTATCCGGGGTCGGGTCGCGGGGGCAGCAGCTTAAGAAGGGAGGCCCAGACTTCCCTCTCCCCAGCCACTTCTTCCAGCTCTTCAGGAGGAACCCCAAGGCGTTCCCAGGCCAGCCGAGAAACATAGTCTCTCCAGCGTGTCCTGGGTCTTCCCCGGGGCCTCCCCCCGGTGGGACGTGCCCGGAACACCTCACCAGGGAGGCGTCCAGGAGGCATCCTAAACAGATGCCCAAGCCACCTCAACTGGCTCCTCTCGACGTGGAGGAGCAGCGGCTCTACTCCGAGTCCCTCCCGGATGACCGAGCTTCTCACCCTATCTCTAAGGGAGAGCCCAGCCACCCTACGGAGGAAACCCATTTCGGCTGCTTGTATCCGCGATCTCGTTCTTTCGGTCATGACCCAGAGTTCATGACCATAGATGAGGGTAGGAACGTAGATCGACCGGTAAATCGAGAGCTTCGCTTTTTGACTCAGCTCTCTCTTCACCACGACGGACCGGTACAGCGCCCGCTTCACGGCAGACGCTGCACCAATCCGCCTGTCGACCTCCCGCTCCCTTCTTCCCTCATTCGTGAACAAGATCCCAAGATACTTAAACTCCTCCACTTGGGGCAGGACACCCCCCCTGACCCGGAGAAGGCACTCTACCCTTTTCCGGCTCAAGACCATGGCCTCGGATTTGGAGGCACTGATCCCCATCCCGGCTGCTTCACACTCGGCTGCGAACCGATCCAGCGAGAGCTGCAGATCACGACTTGATGAAGCCAACAGGACCACATCATCTGCAAAAAGCAGAGACGCAATCCTAAGGCCACCAAAACGGATCCCCTCAACACCTTGGCTGCGCCTAGAAATTCTGTCCATGAAGGTAATGAACAGAATCGGTGACAAAGGGCAGCCCTGGCGGAGTCCAACTCTCACTGGAAACGAGCCCGACTTACTGCCGGCAATGCGGACCAGACTCTGACACCGGTCATACAGGGACCTGACAGCCCGTATCAAAGGGCCCGGCACCCCGTACTCCCGGAGAACCCCCCACAGGGCCCCCCGAGGGACACGGGTTTAAAGGGACCAGTGTTTCTAATTAATGGCGGGCCGCCACAGTGTCTTTGGGCCTGCCACAGTGTCTTTGGGCCCGCCACAGTGTCTTTGGGCCCGCCACAGTGTCTTTGGGCCCGCCACAGTGTCTTTGGGCCCGCCACAGTCTTATATAGACACAGTGAGAGAGAGAAAACAACAACAAAAAGATCTGTCAGAGAGACAAATTGTTGTATTTTTTTTAAGCGCGCGTCCCGCCCTCTTTATAAAAATGCCACCCCAGCTGCCCGGTTCGCCCGTTTCTATTCCTGTCCTCCAGCAGCAGGTGCTGCCGTGGGGCGCCTCCCCCGTCCCAACCCCGTCATCCTGCTTCCACAGAAGTCCCCATCAGCGCTGCGGTCAGAGACACAGCATGCAGATATCCCAAGTTTTCCTGATATAGTTGTTCATAGATGCCCGCGAGTCAGATAAATGATCCTGGATTTTACACTTTGCAAGGTGGTGTTTTGTTCTTTTAATGCCAGTGAGTGCAAGCAGGCAATAATTCATGCATCATGTGTGGATTAGAACTACTTCGATTGCGCAGGAACAACAATAGAGAGCGGGGTGTAGGTTGCTGGTGAAACCTGTGCAGCGTATCTGTCCAAAGCGGTGCTCTGTTCAACCAGCGATGCAGGTGACTGGTTGATCAGAGAGCTGATTGGATCAGTCTGATAAGTTTCTGTCACCTAGTTACAACTCAAAGCTGTGCATCCTATGAAATGGTTGAGGTTCAATCCTCCAGTAAAAAACAAAAATATATGACTAATTTTACTGCAGAATATACTAAAGTATATCCACGTCTAGTGAAGGGGAGGAACAGTGGCAGATCTACTGTTCCTCCCTGGGGGAGCAGCGTGTTTTCCTGGGGCACAGAAAAGCATGAAACAAGCATCTCCCTGAAATAAGTTTCTGGAACTTGGGATGTCTAAGCATGTTTACCCTCAGCGCCCTCCTGGCTTACATTAAGGTGGGGAGCTAGCGGGATGTAAATGTTAAAAGTTATTTGGTCTAAAATAAATAACTGAATTTGAAATATTTTATCTTAAATAACGGCATTTGATTCACACAGCAACAGTCACTTAATCAACTTGTCCATTGTATTTTTCTCTCTAAGATAATGATTTGTAGGCTCCTTAGTGGACCACAAGAGAAAAAAGAAAAAGAAAAGTGGCCTAAAAAAAATGGGACAGTGATTCGTCTCCATGTTCTGAATGCTGGCGTACCATAAAGAATAAATGATGAACAGTTTAGTTTGTGCCTTCAAGTTGTTGCTCATAGGAAGACGTTACTTGGATAGAACCTCACGGAATATCTTCAGAACGGCTCCAAATGACATAAAGCCCAATGTAAAAAAACGGCGTTCCCCTTTAGGTGGGATACACCACGCTTAAAAATGTGCACACATGAAAACCCCCGAGGGTCAGAGACTCTCCCACCACTGTCTCCTGAAATCCTGTGGGAAACACTGGAGGACCATGAATCCCAGTTCCAGGTTAACATGTTTTCTTATTGAAGAGAGAATCAGACTGCAGAGCTTCTACAGATCTAGAAATGTAGTTTCTAGCATCATTATATTAGTGAAGAGGTTCATAAATCTTTTTAAACGGAGAGAAACAGGGAGAGCTGCAGATTTAAAGGAGAAACAGATTTACTGGGATATGCAACATGCAATAAAATATATATCCATGTTCAAGAAAAAAATACGCTATTCTATAATTAAAATCTAGCATATCCATATTTTTCTGGATGGATGGAACTAAAAATTGTTTTACTAGTGATGCATGATTTATTGATTTTGTCATCAGAATCGGCTGTTATTGGTTATTTTTTTATACATCAATGTTTTTGGGCTGTATATATACGTCACAGCTCCTCTCTTAGCCATCCTGTCATGCACAGATCAGATGCCAGACAGTTGGGTTTAAAAAAAAAAAAAGATTTACTGTAATGAATGGTAGAGAAAAACAAATCCTCTGGTTAGCCTCCCCTCTGGTTCACCAACAGCTGGAATGCAATAAAAAGTCCAGCAATCCCTCGGATACCCAACTCTACAAAGAAGATAGCCAGACCGGAGCACTCACCACAGCTGGGGGCCAAACACATTCTGTGGAATTGTCAGCCGTTCCCAGTATTTATAGGCCAACCAGTAGGGGGCGCCAAACACCACTCATCATCACAAATAACTATAAAACATATTTTAGTAGAATTTAATCTACATCTTCTAAAACCCATTACATACATAATGCACTAAAATCATCTCTCTAACATCTTTAAACATAAATATCAGTGTATTGTGGTTCCTTGTGTTCTCAACAACAGGAAAGAATTCAATTTTAGAAAATACAAAAACCTGAAGAAAGCATTCAGGTGGAGTAACTGTAGGTCCATCTGCCCCCACCCTCAGAACCCCCCCACCCTACACCTTTGCTACAGAGGAACCTTCTGCTCCACATCTGCAGCCCAGGGGCCCATATTCTCCCACATCCGGCCCTGCTGATAATAACAGTCATTAAACCCACATGAATCTGAGCCCTCATTGATTGGGAGGTTAGTCTGGTGTGTTTCTACAGTGGGAACATCTAGTAATGTGGATCTAAGTGAGAGGAACCTCCAGCGATGCAGATGAACATCAGACCTACCGAGCCTCTGCAGCCTGACCTGCGGCTTCAGGCACACAGCTAGCAGCTTGCTCTGGGCGGCCAGCTCCTCCTCCAGGCGGATGATGGTTTTCTCCACCTCGGAGAAGATCTCCTCCGCAGCAGCATCCAGTCTCTGCCTGATAAAGTCTCTGAGAGGAAGAACTGAACCCATTCCTGCAGCTGCTGATCCAAACTGGCCTGAGATCCGACCGGACGGTCCACAAAGCAAGCTAGCTGCTAACAACTGCTCAGCGCTACTTCCGGGGGACCTTAGGGCGAACGGATGCGTCAGCGCTGCCGCCATCTTGGTAAGGGAGAAGGTCTTCTTCTTCTTCTTTTTTTTTTTTTTTTTTTTTTTTTTTTTTTTTTTTTTTTTAATGGCGGTTGGCAAACAACTTATAGGTGCATTACCGCCACCTTCCAGAATGGAGTATGGGCCAGACAAACTATTATATTCTCCCTAAAATACCCGTTCTTCTTAGAAAATTAAAAATACTCCCAAAAACTACATCCCCAGATGACATTTGAAACAATTCCCTTATATCTAGTTTACTTTTATTCCTGTCTAACTCTCTACACAACATCTCTCTTTCCTGAGTATATTTATTACATTCTAAAAAAATATGTTGGACAGTTTCTAATTTCCCACAAATACAACACCCTGTATTATGCTTATTCATTATTTTAAGTACTATTTAATCCTGTGTGTCCGAACCTTATTCTAGATAAATATCTTCTTTTTCTTTAATTACATTTTCTTAATTCTCCAACCTTTTTTTGAATACTATAATAAAATCTAGCATTCCCTCCTTTATCCCACTGTTCTTGCCATTTCTTCTTGAAATACATTTTAATAATATTCTTTAACTCATTTTTACTTATGTTAATGTTTAAATCAACATTCTTTTTTACAGCACTCTTAGCAAAACTGTTAGCTAACTCATTACCGATAACACCAATGTGAGCAGGAATCCAGACTAATTTAACAACAGAACCACCATTTTTAATCCTAAAAATTGAGTGAAGAATATCCAATATAATATCTTGTCTTGACTCTGAAATAAATTCTAGAATACTTATTAATGCACTACTTGAATCTGAACAAATTAAAACCTCCCTTTCTTTTGTTTCCTCAACCATTCTAAAGCCATTAAGATAGCCATTAATTCACCTGTATACACTGCCAATTTATCTGTTATTCTTTTATTCCTCATAATATTTAAATCTGGGATTACAAATGCTATACCTACTTTATCATTTAATGTTTTAGAAGCATCTGTATAAATTTGTATATACTCTGAATATTCTTTTTTAATATAATTTTCCACCTCTTTTTTATCTAACTGTCTCCCTTTTCTCAATAAATTTAAATCAACATCAGCCTGTCCAAAGATCCATGATGGAATAGCAGGAATAACAATCACAGGACTGATTACAAAGTTATCTATTCCTACATTTTTTACTTTATTCATAATTGTCCATCCAAAACTATTAATTTTTTTCTTTTCTTTTTCCTGACATGGTTGCAGTGTAACATACGGAGGATGACTTTCTTTAAATCCTTTAATATTTACCCAGTAATTTATGGCTAGTTGTTCTCTCCTGAGCTCCAGTGGCATCTCACCCATCTCCACTTGTAGAGCGGAAACCGGGGTAGTTTTCATTGCTCCACAACAAAGTCTTAATGCCTGATATTGTATTCTATCTATTTTCTTTAATAAAGTACTTGAAGCTGAATTGTATACTATACAACCATAATCTAAAATTGATCTAATTAGTCCATTATATACTGTTTTTAATGCTTTTCTATCTGCTCTCCAATCTTTTCCTCTTAGACATCTCATTATATTTAAAATTCTTTTACTTTTTTCAACTATTTTATCTATATGTATCTTCCATGTAAGTTTTTTATCAAACCAGATGTCCAAATACTTAATTGATCTATCCTTTCTATAACATCCCCATATAATTTGAGATTTACATTATTGTTTAATTTTCCATTTGTAAAAGCAACACATTTAGACTTAGATGTTGAGAATCTAAAACCCCAATCTAAAGCCCAAGCTTCTACATTCAGTAATGCTTCTTGTAGTTTTTTATTTACAAACTCTATATTTTTCCCCCCTCTTCCAAATAATACCATCATCTGCAAACAATGAGACACCAAAGGATTTATCTATACTACTAAAAATATCATTAATCATTATACTAAATAGAATAGGACTTACTATACTACCTTGGGGAGTGCCATTTTCAACTTGATATTTTGAACTTATTACCCCACCTATTTTTACTCTAGTACTTCTTTCAGTTAAAAAAACTTTTTATCCATCTATATATTTTACCTCTTTTACCTATTCGTTTTATTTTAATCAATAGCCCTTCTTTCCATAACATATCATAAGCCTTTTCCACATCCAGAAAGACTGCTAACACACTCTTCTTATTTACCTGAGCCTGTCTTATTTCATGTTCCAGATATAATGCAGGATCTATTGTACTTCTGCCTTTTCTAAATCCAAATTGATAAGATTTAATCTTTTCTTTAGATTCTAAAAAATAAATGTATCTGTTATTTACCATTTTTTTCCATGACTTTACCCATACATGATGTTAGAGCTATTGGCCTGTAACTTTCAGCTAAATTAGGATCTTTACCAGGTTTGCAAATTGGTATAACGATGGCTTCTTTCCATATATCAGGTAATATCCCTTCCTCCCACACCTTATTATATAATTCTAATAATATTTCTTTACTCACATCACTAAAATTATTTAACATACTATAACTAATTTGATCTTTCCCAGGAGTAGATTTACTAGAATTCTTCAATGCTTTATTTAATTCTAACAAGGAGAACTTCATGTTAATAGAATCCTCACAATCCGCTTCATCATTGACCAATGCAATATTTCTCTTTAATGTCATTTCACACCCTCTTTTTTCTTTATTATTTACATTTTCTGTACTATGTATCTTAGCAAAACCTTTAACTAATATTTCAACTTTACTCTTATTGTCTATTATAATATTTCCATTATCTTTAATTACTGGGAAAAATATTCTTTTGAACTCCCTGACATTTTCCTAATAGTATTCCATACTCTATCTAAAGCAGTATTTTTCCCCAAAGACTCACAATATTTCCTCCAATAATCCCGTTTAGCATTTCTTATAGTTTTCCTAACTTCTGCCGGTTTCCTTTTATAATTAACTAGATTTTGGAAGCAAATTGTTTTCTTAAGTGTTTTAAAAGCCTTATTCCGCTGTTTAATTGCAAATGAACATTCTGGTGTCCACCAAGGAACTATTTTCTTTTTTTTATACCACTACTTCTAGGAATAAATATTTTGGCCGAGTTAATAATACAATTACTAATTTCTAAATTTAATTCATTTATTGGTTTACTTATATCTACATTTTTCATATTAATCTCACTCATTATTTTAAACCTATCCCAGTTTGCTTTCCCAAATTTCCACCTCCCCTCAGTTTCTACCTGATCTTCCTCTATATCTATTCCTATCCTTGTAAAAACCGGATAATGATCACTCCCTATTGTATTTTCTTTACATACTTTCCAACTGCAATTATTAGCAATAGATTGAGAAACTAAAGTCAGATCAATAGCCGATTCCTTACCTCTTACCAAGTCTACCTGAGTACCCCGTTATTTAAAACTACCAATTCTTTTTCTTCAATTATCTCTTCTAAAATTCCTCCATTATAATCATATTGATCTCCCCATAAAGTGCTATGTGCATTGAAGTCCCCACACCAAACTATTTTCTGTTACGTTCAAATTTGTAGTTTTATGATAAAAAGGAAACTGAGTCCACACAGAATAGGGTTCTTTGGCTCCTGCAAGAGGAGAGAGTCACGTTCAGCTACATCTGCACTCTCTCTGTCTCCTCAGCAGAAGC